ACTCCTGGGAGGTCTGCCTTGTTGGCTTCAGAACCCCAGCTGTAGTATGTTGGCTTTAGGAGCAAGCTGTACTAAAGGTGCTTGCTTTCTAGTTCACAGCAGCTTCAGTCAGCAGTTCTCAGCATCGACCAGAAGAGGGGCGCAAACAGACCTGAACTGACACTTAGGGAAATCTGTTGCTTTTGGGAGCCTGTGGTATGGAGTGTGCAGACAGGCAGAATTTTTATGGTAGCAAGCATCCGGCGGCCAATATGGCTGGGCAGAGAGGCAGGTTCGGTGGTAGAAGCAATTTGCCTATTGTATGCAACTCATCATTGACTCGTGGAGTCTTACCATTCTGCTGTCCTATGCACTCCCTCAAGCCCGGGTACCGTTTTCTTCTTGTATTCCTGGAGGAGGGTCTGAACAATGATCTGTTCTATGCTGCCATCTTCCCCAGTCCTCCACTACTCTGCTTTCTATCTATAGATTTGCTTTTTCTGGACGTTTCATACACATAGAAACACACAAACATGGTTTTTTGCCTCTGGCTTCTTTAACTTAACAATGTTTTTCAGGTTCATTCATGTAATATGTATCAGTAGTTTGTTCCTTTTTATTTCTGAACAGTAGCCCATTGTACATAAATACCATATTTTGTTTATCCATTATGTGTTGATGACCTTTGGGTTGTTTTCACTTTTTTTGCTATTATGAATTATGTTGCTGTGAGCATTCACGTAAGTGTGAGGACGTAAGTTTTTATTTTTCTTGGGTAGATACTGTAAGTGGAATTGCCGAGTCATATGGTAAATTTATGGTCAACTTTTTAAGAAACTCTGCTAAGTGGCTGTACCATTTTACTTCCCCACCAGTAATGTGTGAGGACTCTAGTTTCTTCCTATCCTTGCTAACACTGTTATTGTCTGTCTTGATGATTGTAGTTATTGTAAGGGTTGTGAAGTGATATCTCATTGTGATTTTCATTTGCATTTTTTTTTGCATCTATTTGTTTATTGGCCACTCATATGTTTTCTTTGGTGAAATATCTATTCACATTTTATCTCCATTCTTCATTTGGGTTGTTTGTCTTCTTATTGAGTTCTAGGAATTCTTTATATATTCTGGATAAAAATTCTTTATCATCTGTATAATTTGCAGATATTTTCTTCCAGTCTATGGCTTGTCTTTTCATTTTCTTAATACTATCCTTTGAAGTACAATTTTTTAAAAAATTTTGATGAAGTCCTATTTATCCTTTTTTTTTTTCCTTCTAATGGACTGTGTTTTGGGTGTTTTACCTAAGAATTATTTGTTTAATTCAAGTCATAATGACTTTCTCCTCTTTTATTCTGTAAAAGTTTTATGGTTTTGACTCTTACATTTAGGTCTATAATCCATTTTTAATGAATTTTTGTGTATGTTGTTAGTTAATGGAAGCCTTGGTGGCGTAGTAGTTAAGAGCTATGGCTGCTAACCAAAAGGTCAGCGGTTTGAATCCACCAAGCACTCCTTGGAAACCATGTGGAGCAGTTCTACTCTCTCCTGTAGGGTCGCTATGAGTCGGAATTGACTCAACGGCAATGGGTTAATAATCTTAAATTTATATTCTTGCCATGTGGATATTGAATTGTGCCAGAACCATTTATTAAAAAAACTATCTTTTTCTATACAGTTGCCTTGGCACCTTTGTCAAAAATCAATTGACCATAACTGTAAGGATTTATTTCTTGACTCTCAGTTTTATTCCATTGATCTTTATGTCTGTCCTTATGCCAGTACCACACTGTCTTGATTGCTGTTAGCATTATAGTAAGTTTTGAAACTGACACATGTAAGTATTCCAGCATTGTTCATTTTCAAAGTCATTTTAGCTGTTCTGCGTCCTTTGTGTTTCTGTGCAACTTTTGAGATTAGCAAAAAATACCTACTTGAATTTTGATAGAAATGTTTTGAACCCATAGATCAATTTCAGAATGACGTCTTAGTTACCTATTTCCAAAGTACATTGGTGGAACAGGCACAAAGTAGACATTTTATTACAAATGGGAGAAATTGGAGGGAAAGAAGGGATAATGGGCACCAGCAGAATACATTACTCTCTCAGCTTGAAAATAATCTTCTGTTCTCTTAGACCATCTAGTCTGCCCTCCAGACGCCCTCCAGACTCTGGGTGTTGGCCATGTTCTCTGGATTCTGAGTGAAGGCCCCTCAGCGGTGGGCTTCAGCTCTGCCTTCCAGACCCACTGGGACAGCACCTCTGCTCCCTCGGCTTTGGGCAGTCCCCCCCTGATAGTCCATCTGCGTGGCGACCCCCCATCCCCGGCCCTGGCAGGCCCCATTGTTCTGCCCCTTGGGCATAGCAGCCCTGCCCCCTCATCTTTGGGCGGCAGCCCCATCGCCTGCCGTGCCTTAACAGCAGCCCCACACTCCAAAACCGAGTTGGTGAAGATCTGAATCTTTGAAACTGAGAAGGCCCTTCTTCCCGTGCTCCTTCCAACAGTTCTGCTGATCTCTTAGCTGCCTCCAGGGATTGTCCTTTTCTTGTTTTGGAGGGCAACAGATGTGTCTTTTTTGGCCTGTTTCCTGCCTGTAGAATTCCAAGAGGCAGACAGTATTTTTTCCTTTTGTTCTTTCTTTGTCCCCTTCAATCTAAGCAGATGGGTTTTCTCCTGTGGTAGTTGGTTAGATCCATCATCACAGGCTTAATTTCTTTAACAAAAGATTGTGTAGCCATGTCCTTGGTGAACATTCTACGACACGTGTCCCTAGTTTGTACAAAACAAATTTTCCAGATCTTTAAGTTCTATTTTCATTTTGCACAGTTCATTTTTAAATCCATCTCCTTCCTTTCGTGTTTTACTGTAAGTGGCAAGGAGAAACCACGCAGCCCCTTTAAGATCTTGCTTAGAAATCTCCTCAGCCAGATATCCAAGTTCATCGCTTTCAAGTTCTACCTTCCACCAAACATTTATATATTATTCAAACAAGTTCTTTGCCATCACCCTTCCTCCATTGTCCAATCACATGTTCATCAATTTCTTTTAAAGCCTTACCAGAAGCACATTTAACATCCACATTTCTAGCAACATTCTGTTGCTGGTGCCATATGTATCCTCTCCTCACTTCCTTCTGAGCCCTCACTGGAATTGCCTTTGACGTCCATAATTCTACCAACTATCTCTTCAAGGCAAGCTAGGCTTTTACTGTTAGGCACCTTAAAACTCTTCCGGCCTCCACCCATTACCCAATTCCAAAATCACTTCCGTATTTTAGGTACTTGTTAGAGCAGCAACCCCCTTCTCAGTACCAAATTCTGTCTTAGTTACCTAGTGCTGCTATGACAGAAATACCATAAGTGGATGGCTTTAAGAAACAGAAATTTATTTTCTTACAGTTTAGGAGGCTCCAAGTATGAATTCAGGGTGCTGCTCTAGGGGAAGGCTTTCTCTCTGTGTCAGCTCTGGAGGAAGGTCCTTGTGTCTGCAGCTTCTGCTTTCTGGTTCCTTGGAGATGTCTGTGTGTCTTGGCATCTACCTTACCCCATCTCCACTTCCTAGGTTGTTTGTTTAATCTCTTTTATATCTCAAAAGAGGTAGACTCAAGATACACCCCACACTAATCCTGTCTCATTAACATAACAAAGACAACCCATTCCCAAATATGATTATAACCACAGGCGTAGAGGTTAGGACTTACAACACATTTTTGGGGGACACAATTCAATCCATAACAGACATCTTAGCAATGTGAATCTGCCAATCTATGAACATGGATGTCTCTTCATTTCCTTAGATCTTCCTTAATTTTACAGCAATATTTTATAGTATACAAATCTTGCACTTATTTTGTTAAACCTATTTAATATTTTATTTTCTAATGATATTGCAAATATGATTGACTTCTTAATTTCATATTCAGATTGTTATTGTGTATAGAAATACAATTGATTTTTGTACATTGAACTTGTATTTCTGCGACTTCACTGAGTTCATTTATTCTAGTAGTTATTTTGTGAATTCCTTAGGACATTTTACATACAGGGTCATGTTAAAACTGCAAATACAGTTTTACTTCCTTCTTTCCAATCTGATTGCCTTTTATTTTTCTTGCCTTGCAACACTGTCTAGAACCTCCGGTACCATGTGAATAGAAGTGACAAGAGCAGACATCCTTGTTCCTGATCTTAGGGAGAAAGCAGTCAGTCTTTCACCAGTGAGAATGATGTTAGCTGTAGGTTTTTTTGTAGATGCCTATTATTAGGTTGAGGGAGTTCCCACTTATTCCTCGTTTGCTGAGAGTTTTATCACGAGTGAATGTCGGATTTTGTCAGGTGCTTTTTCTGCATCTAGTGAGATAATCATGTTGTTTTTGTCCTTTATTTTATTAACATTGTGTTGTTTTAATTGATTCTCAGATGGTAAACCAGCCTTGCGTTCCTGAGATCATTTTGTTTGCTAATATTGTGTTGATGGTTTTTGCGTGTATAATCATAAGGGATATTGGTCCGTAGTTTTCTTCTGAAGTCTTTACTAACAGGATAGTACCTCGTTAAAAAGGGAAAAAGCTATAAAAATGGAAGGAATCTGATTGCCACCTATTGTAGGATGATTGTGGAGTACTTGTGGGGTGCCCCTCATTCACCCCCAAGGCATCACCATGTGGCGTCATCAGTAGAAAGGTTACATTGTATTTAATATCCTTGATAAAACTGTAGTGGAATGGCTTTTAGAAAGATTTTTGCCACAAACCATTGAAACATAAAAAGTGAGGCATGAGCTTCTAGTATCTTCAAAACATTCATACATAAAAGATCACCTCCCATTTAAATGAGATTTCTAATTTAGCTGATTTAAAAGTCTTTATAGTATTTTAGAGTTACCAGAATATGGTGAGCTTTCCTTACACAGGTCATTTTAAAGGCAGCCTGGGGGTAGAATACTGAATTGTCTGTTGTACTTTTCCCATTCCCTCTGAGCATTTTTTTGTTAGTAATCATTTCCTTTCCATTTTATTGACAGAGGAGGAGGGAAGAGACCTGAGCTGTTTTGTCGCTTCTCTTATCCAAGTGATGCTGGATCCCTACTTTAGGACTGTTACTGGATTCCAGAGTCTGATACAGAAGGAGTGGGTCATGGCAGGATACCAGTTCCTGGACAGGTGCAACCACTTAAAGAGATCGGAGAAAGAGGTAACGTCTTCACTCTGTATTATCAGTGTCTAAGTGTGCCGAAGGTAAAGTGAGAGGAGCCTTCTGTGAAGAGATGGAGGGAGGTGTTACCTGTTGTAAACAGCTTAGTTTCCTTAGTCCTAGACTGACTAATGGATTAGAGTCCAAATTGATGGACTTATGAAGATTATCGTAATCGTATAGGTAAAAATCCTAAAAAGTAGTATATTGCATTTCCCTAAGTTGAAAAATATCTCAAGAAATGCTGCATTAACTCCTCTGCAAAGCAGATAACCAGCACATTTGGTATTTTGATTTTTAAAATCACATTTTCTTAAAATGGAGCACACTGGATAAGAATGAAAAGTTTGAGAGGGACATCTTGGTAACAGCTGAGGGGTAGTGGCTGCCTTGGATGTGTAGTTGTGTGACTGTCTCATAGGCCAGTCACATCATGCCAGTTCCTACAGGGTGGCTTCAGAGAGCACAGTTTGACTTGTGCTAGCTTATATTTCATAATATATTATCTGAGACAGTCTCCACAGTGAATCCTTCCCTTGTAAAATGACAGGACTCTTCTGTCACTAAGACGTGGTCATGATAACATAGCTGTTTCCAGCTGCTGTACTTTGTGACATGACATGTGATCCAGAGGCTGATGCTAAACTCTCTTTTGAAGCTCGAGGACGTGTTCTGGATGATGAGCCCACAGGGTCAACAAAAGCTAATTACAGAAGTTTTCCTTTTTTTTAATGTTCTAAGAATTGTTTCCAGGATACAGTTAAACATGATTTTCCCCATCCTCATTCAGATAATGGCAACCTGCTCGTTTGTGTACTGTGCCCCTTGATCATTGTATACCTATTGGGAAATAGAGTGGAGATATGTGTCACGGTGGAATGTACTTCTTAAGTTTGACATTAGATCTGTTTACATATCCTTCACTCAACTTAGGAGTCAAGTGTTTTAGGCTTAGGTGTTTTCTTATGCTCTTAATCACTTCCTTAATAGCAGTAAATTTGGAAACAAACGTGAACAGCTGAAGGACAGTATTAAATAATCACATTTTCTGTTTTTATTTGCCAGTCTCCCTTATTTTTGCTGTTCTTGGATGCCACGTGGCAGCTGTTAGAACAATATCCAGCGGCTTTCGAGTTTTCTGAAACGTACTTGGCTGTCCTGTACGACAGCACCCGGATCTCACTGTTTGGCACTTTCCTGTTCAACTGCCCTCATCAGCGGGTGAAGCAAAGCACAGTAAGCAACGTTGTGGCCACAGCTACTTTTTTATACAACTTTTTTGAGATATAATTGAAGTACAATAAACCGCATATTTGAAATGCACAGTTTAAAACCGTTTTAGCTACCATTTTAAGCTGTAATTTCTGTATGAGTTATTTTAAAGATTTATATAAAAATCTGGGGACTTGTTTTATTGTTATGAACGGGCATTTTATGCTTTTCTCTGATGTAAATTGTTCATAGTAAACCAATTTAAAGATGTAAATTACTTTAACTACCTTAAATGTTGTGCATTTCTATTTATATTTTCATATGTGGGCTGTTGGGATGGTGATTAAAAAAAAAAGACCCTATTTGAGGACACTTATTTCCTAGGTCAGTAGAATTAAAGTCGTGCAAAGCAAGCTTGGGAAAGTTGTGAGGTGAGACGTAGGCGGTGTGTACTGGACGGAGATTCTCCACAGGCTCTGCAGGCCACGTGGCAGTCACTTATGGGTAGTAGTATAAGTTTTCAGTCACAATTCATCAACCTAGAGGAAGACTCACTTACGACTGAGGGAAGTCTCAAGCAAAACTGGAAACATGCCTCTCTGGTTGCCGCTCTTGGAAATCTTCCTGAACCACGAGTTCTGTCTCACGCACATTTGAGCTGGCAGTGTTAGTCCTCATAAATGCTGAAGTGAACATCGAGAGAAACTGAAAGGGCAGATGATGTAGGCCTTTGCAAAGACTTTCTAAGAAGAGATTACCCTCCCAGTGAGCTGTGGGGCCTTCAGCCTTTAGCATTAGGGCCCTGGTCTGGGCAAGATGCTAGGCCTAGGTTCCTCTTAGGTTTAAGCCTGTAAGTCCGGGTTCCTCATCTCTAAGATGGATCTGTCAAGCTAACAGTAGTGGCTTTGGCCTCATTGTGTGAGGTGAAAACGTTTTGTAAACTGTGAAGCATTATGCATATTATTCTAGGGGAATGAGTCATTCTGGATTATAGGTGTGAAAGCTAAATGCACTGGACAGTAAAGGGGATCATTTTATTCAGACTAGTGCAATAGGGAGTTGTTGTTGGGTGCCATGGAGTCAATCCTGACTCAGCAACCCTGTGTACAACAGAACAAAACACCGCTGCCCAGTCCCGTGCCATCCTCACAGTCTTTGCTGTGTTTGAGCTTATTGTTGCAGCCATTGTGTCAGTCTGTGAGGGTCTCCCTCTTTTTTGTTGACCCTCTACTTTACCAAGCATAATGTCCTTCTCTAGGGATTGGTCCCTCCTGATAACATGTCCAAAGTATGTGAGAGAAAAGTCTCACCATACTTGCTTCTAAGGAGCATTCTGGCTGTATTTCTTCCAAAGTAGATTTGTTCTTCTGGCAGTCCATGGTATATTCAGTATTCTTTGCCAACACTGTATTCAAATGCATCAATTCTTATTCGGTGTTCCTAATTCATTGTCCGGCTTTTGCATGTATATGAGGTAATTGAAAATACATGGCTTGGGTCAGGCTTACCTTCGTCCTCAGAGTGACACCTTTGCTTTTTAACACTTTAAAAGGGGTCTTTTACAGCACATTTTCCCAGTGCAGTACTTCGTTCCATTTCTTGACTGCTGTTCTCATGGACATTGAATGTGGATCCAAGTAAAGTGAAAATCCTTGACAACTTCAGTATTTTTTCTGTTTATCATGATGTTGCTTATTGGTCCAGTTGTGAGGAGTCTTGTTTTCTTTATGTTGAGGTGTAATCCATACTGAAAGCTGTAGTCTTTGATCTTCATCAGTAAGTGCTTCAAGTCCTCTTCACTTTCAGCAAGCAAGATTTTATCATCTGCATATCGCAGGTTGTTAATGAGTCTTCCTCCAATCCTGATGCCCTGTTCTTTATCATGTACTCTGGCTTCTCCAATTATTTGCTCAGCATACGGATTGAATAAGTATGGTAAAAGGATACAACCCTGACGTACACCTTTTCTGATTTTAAACCACTCAGTATCCCCTTGCTCTGTTCAAATGACTGCCTCTTGATCTATGTACAGGTTCCACACGAACATAATTAAGCGTTCTGGAATTCCCATTCTTCACAATGTTATCCATACTTTATGATCCACATAGTCGAATGCCTTTGTGTAGTCAATAAAACACAGGTAAACATCTTTCTGGTGTTCTCTGCTTTCAGCCAGGATCCATCTGACATCAGCAGTGATATCCCTGGTTCCACATCCTCTTCTGAACTGGGCTTGAATTTCTCACAATTCACTGTCAATGTGCTGCTGCAACTGTTTTTAAAGCATCTTCAGCAAAATTTTACCTGCGTGTGATATTAATGGTATTGTTCTATAATTTCCACATTCTGTTGGATCACCTTTCTTTGGAATGGGCACAAATATTGATCTCTTCTAGTTGGTTTGCCAGGTAGCTGTCTTCCGAATTTATTGGCATAGATGAGTGAGTGCTTCCCGCGTTGCATCCATTTGTTGGAACATCTCGGTTGGTATTCCATCAGTTCTTGGAGCCTTAATTCTTTTTCACCAGTGCCTTCAGTGCAGCTTGGACTTCTTCTTCAGTACCATCAGTTCTTGATTATACGCTACCTGCTGAAATGGTTGAACATCAGCTGATTCTTTTTGGTACAGTGACTCTGGATTCCTTGCATCTTCTTTTGATGCTTCCTGCGTCATTCAATATTTTGCCCATAGAATCCTTTAGCATTGCAACTCAAGGCTTGAATTTTTTCTTCAGTTCTTTCAGCTTGAGAAATGCCGAATGTGTTCTTCTCTTTTGGTTTTCTTACTCCAAGTCTTTGCACATTTTATTATAATACTTTACTTTGTCTTCTCAAGCCACCCTTTGAAATCTTCAGTTCAGCTCTTTTACTCCATTTCTTCCATTCAGTTTAGCTATTCTACGTTCAAGAGCGACTTTCAGAGTATCTTCTGACATGCATTTTGGTCTTTTCTTTCTTTCCTGTCTTTTTAATGACCTTTTGCTTTCTTCATGCTTGATGTCCTTGATGTCATCTCACAACTCATCTGGTCTTCAGTCATTAGTGTTCAGTGCATCAAATGTTTTTGAGATGGTCTGTAAATCCAGGTGGGATATACTCAAGGTTGTACTTTGGCTCTCGTGAACTTATTTTAATTTTCTTCAGTTTTAACTTGAACTTGCACATGAGCAGTTGATGGTCTGTTCCACAGTTGGCCCCTGGCCTTGTTCTAACTGATGATATTGAGCTTCTCCATCATCTCTTTCCACAGATATAGTCAATTTGATTCCTGTGTATTCCATCTAGCGAGGTCCACGTGTATATTCACTGTTAATGTTGTTGAAAAAAGGTATTTGCAATGAATGAGTCGTTGATGTTGCAAAATTCTATCATGCAATCTCCAGCGTTGTTTCTGTCACCATATTTTCCAACTGCTGTTCCTTCTGCAGTAGGGATAGAGCTCCATTAGTGAGGAACATCCTAAAGAGGAAGGGCCTGGGGCCTTACAGACGGCAGAGGTCTTACCTCAGAATATGTGAGCCATTTCTTCACATTGCAGCTTGCCTTCTGGGAGCACAGGGCTCACATACATTCAGCATTGCATAGGGTTTTAGATAATAATAGTTTTGGCAGGAAATTTTTATCCAGAGTATTCTATGCTTCCCTAAAAGAATTTAACCTTTCCTGATACTGTGATAGGGAACAGTGGTGGGCTCAGTCTGCTGAAGTGTGGAAGACTGTTTGTTCCTAAAATAAGTAGTCTCAGAGTTATTTTTTATTTTTTGTTTACTGTAGGTAATTTTTCGTACCCGTTTCTTTGCTTTTCTTATATGAAAACTGAAAATATTTATCTCCAAGAAGATCAGATTTTCCACAAAGAGTACCTGACCTGTGTCTGATGTGGCCTCAGAATGGAAAAAGGAAGGAAAGGCCATTCCATTCTTGGACGTCCTTCACGTTTTGCTTGCCTGCCGCTTGGTTTCTTCTCCGCTCATGTCCTTCAGTACCCTGCGTGCAGCCCTGGCACGCATGCACGCACACGTGCAGTTTAAGCCTGAGTTTACATGAGGCTAGGAAGTGAAGTCGCCTTGTTAGACTGAAGTATAAGGGAAGAGTGTAGAAGCTGGGAGATCCTGGTGCCTTTCTAGTGCAGTGGGTGGGCTCTAGAGCGTAAGACTGTATAGGTGCCAGGCTGGCCCACAGAAATACTCCTCGCTTCTGCAAGATACATTTACAAGTAGACTTATATACAGGAATAAAAGTTACTGAACATTTTTAAATACTAGTATTTCATCTGTTTTCCCTATGTTGTGTTCTAGTGCTGTATTTTTAAAATTTGGCTTTTTTCAAAAGCTTTTTTCTGGCAAGTCCCTCCCTTCCTCCTTCCTTTCTCCAGTATTTTCTATTCATGATTTGACTGAACAGCAGGAGCTGAAGCCAGTCAGTGCTGCCTCTGTGCCTAAGAGCCGTGATGTTTGGCACGTCTGCTGTTTTTAGGTCCTTCTACACAGCCGTACACCAGAATGGAGCGGCCACCTTAGATGCTAGTGTCAGGTTCTGTTTGTGAAGTCTGATCTTCTTTCTTAGAGATAAGTATTTTTAGTTTTCATATTGGGGGGGAAAAAGATGATTGTTTTCTATATACTTTCCTAACAGCCATTGAACAAGTTGGGGTTTATGTTTTACTAGATTTCATCTCTTTACAGCACTGTTTTCTAAAGCTAATAGAATGTTTTTATCCATGCATACGTATGATGACATTTCAAATAACTAAACATTTTTAGAAATATATTTTGGTGCTTAATGAGTTAAGTTTTACATATTTGAAATAGAAAGTTCTGTAAAATACCCTGCTCTGTTGTGTAGCTTAGCCATTTTTGGATGACCCAGGGCTCTGGCTGTGGCAGTGGGCAGCATCTGCTATAGACCATGCTGGCTTCTGCTGCAGGCCTGTCTTCCCTACTGACATTTACTCTTTGCCTTTTTTCTAATTTCCAAAGAAGTACATGTTTTTTTGGTGGATATTTTGGAAAATACTGAAAGGTATGGCGCAGAAAATAAAAATCAATCATTTCCCACCATGCACTCAATATTTTGGGATATTTCTCCTAGGGAACTATTCTGTACGAACATCTGACTTATGGACAGCTTGTACTTGCCCTTTAATGTTATGTAAATTTGCCCTCCCTTTGACAAATTCTTCATCACAAGCACCTTCACTTGCGCACGTGCAGCTTTTAAATCATTGAAAAGGCCTTGAGCCTTTTCTTGCACTGAAGTAAGGCTGTATAAGAACCGGATGCACCTGTTCTGACTTACCTACAAATTCGACTTCACGACTTAGGCACCCTTAGGAACGGATCTCATTGGTAATCTGGGGCGGCCTGTAAACTCTTGTGGTAGCTGCTCGTCACTCACTTAGGTCGCGTTCCTTTCTCCATGTCACTCAGTGTGACCGCCGTGGTCTGAGGTAATCTAGGCAACCTCCCAGCTGTGCTCAGCTTCTTCCTTGCAGTGTGGGGTCTGCCAGCAGCTAGTGTTTGCCTTGGTTTGCATGGGGGCACCAGAGCCCCGGCCGCTTTAGCCCAGAGCAGGGCCCGAGGCAGTCTCCCGTGAGTAAGGGCCTGCCTTGGCCAAGTGCTGGCACCGTGGGAGAGGTGATTCCTTCCTCCCTGCTCCTTGGCTGGGTCCCAGATACTTCAGATCACTAGATAAGTGGCATGTGGCTATGCATGTAGAAAATAAGTGGCAGTCAGTTCCATCCAAAGGTTTTTTTGTTACTCTACTCACTAAGTTTTGTACCCAAAAGGCAATTGCTTACATGTGTGATCATGTGCGCATAAATGTAAAATACTGTGATTATAAAAATAAGTTTGACATGTTTAAGACTTTATGGTATTACATCAGTGAAGTTTTACTCCTCTGAATAAGAGGAGGGTCCGACCTCCTTGGTGTGGTAAGGAAGGGAGCGCTATGCCGTGCATGCCGGGCCAGACACGGTAACGGGTCTTGGACTGGAAGCTCTGGGAATGTCTCCTCACTCTTTTGAAGAAAAACACGCTGCTCTGGTGAGTTCTGAGTGCTCCCGTTCAGAAAATGTGACTTGTATATTGATGATTGGTTCATCTTATAATAGAAGATCTTTAGTTTTGCATCTTTTCACAATGTTCAAATGTTTATTTTGCAGGAATTTGCTATAAGCAAAAATATCCAATTGGGTGATGAAAAGGGCTTAAAATTCCCTTCAGTTTGGGACTGGTCTCTTCAGTTTACAGCAAAGGATTGCACCCTTTTCCATAACCCCTTGTACATTGGGAAGAGCTCGCCTTGTATACACAACGGTTCTGTGAAATCTTTTAAGCGGACAAAGGTAATGAAAGAAATGCACACACATAACCAGAAACCTCTTTCAGAACACAGAGCAGTAAAAATGAAGTCACTTCTCATGACGAGACTCCTAATGAAGTTTTTGAGGGCTCCTTTGGTTGAGCTGACCTTCCTTTATCCTGACTTTTCTTCCCGTGTCTGGGCCCCCAAACCCTGATGAGGTCTGAGGTGGGCAGGAGGAGGCAGCTCTGAGCTGGGGAGCTCCAGCCTGCAGCCTTCCACTCGCACCTGTGCGTTCTTGCTAGAGTCAGCTGGCTCTGGGTTGTTTTTTGTTAACCCAGAAGTCTTAGAAATTTACACTTATGCAAATTAATGGATAGATTATGCTCACCTCCCCACCCCTGTGCAGGCGAGTGGTAATAGCCTAGGTAGCATAACACCTAAAGTTAAATTCCAGTGGAGGAGGATTAGAATGAGCATAACAAGGGAAGGAAGGAAATGTTATCTAAGGCTGAAATTCCACCAGTTTTTCATAGTACTGTGTTAATTTTGCTGTTGGACCTTTACTATCTTTCTATAAAGCTACACTCCAGGAAGATAATGCTAAAATTTCTCCTCTCTACAGAAGAGCTACAGCTCTACTCTCCGAGGATTGCCATCTTCCTTAAGGAACGGAGTCATCAGCGACCAAGAGTTACTTCCAAGGAGAAATTCACTGGTGTTAAAACTAAAGCCAGAGCCACCTCAGCAAGGCGAAAGCCAGAGCAGCGGGCTGGAGCAGTACTTCAGAGACTGGTTCTCCAAACCCGCCGACCTGCATGGCGTCCTCTTACCACGTCTCTCAGGAATACACGTAAAGCTGTGGAAACTCTGCTACTTCCGCTGGGTCCCCGAGGCCCAGATCAGCAGCGGCGGCTCCATCACCGCCTTCCACAAGGCCTCAGTCCTGGTAGACGAGGTCGACACGCTCAGCAGGATGCTCCGGCAGCACCGGCGCGTCCCTCTGCCAGCCTGCTCCTCAGAGCCAGACCAGAGCAGGATGTACTTCCAAGCCAGTGGCCCCCACGCCACCTTGGGGACCCCCGACTTCCTCTCATCTTCATTTCCGTTTTCTCCTTTGGGCAACCTGTGCAGACGCAGCATTTCAGGAACACCATTAAGCAAATTCTTAAGTGGGGCCAAGATATGGTTATCTACTGAGACATTAGCAAATGAGGACTAAAATGTCATCTTTTCTGAACATTTTGAGGGAAGTTGTGTTTTTCCTCTGAATTAAAATTGTTAACCTAGGCATTTGAAGCTCTAATAATTTTATATGTAAGAAAAATAGTTGAAGTTTGCACTAATATTTAAAAACACATTGAATCATGCTTCCTTTGGGTTTTTTTTTAAAGGTAGGCATAGATTTTTACTGAATTTACTTTCTTTCATTACAGGCCTGGCTCATTTTCAGATGGTTTACAGGCAGATAGTCCCACATTTTTGTCTGCATCCGTTTTTCCTACCACCTACTAAAGGTTACCTGATCTTCAGTCAGATTAGCAACCCAAAGAAGCAGGCATCAGGAAAATTTAAAACTGGTGTTTAGTATATTTCTGGATATATTCAAACATAGAAATGCTCCTGACGATGTGGCACAGGAGTGGGCATAATTCCATTCTGTTAAACGTAAGGTCACCATGAGTTGGAGTTGACTCGATGGCAACAAACAGCTTATTTCCAGAAGCATCTGATAAGCTCCCAAAAGGCTTAGTAGGTAGGTATTCATGTTACTTTTTTGGTAACTTTATGTTATCTCTAATTGATTTCAACTGATACAGGGTTCAGTGTTCCAAGGCCATAATTATTATCTTAGATCACCGTGTTTGGGACTTTAATCTGTTTTAAAACCATGGGTTTTCTTTTACCTCATAGGACTAACTTTAAGATGATGTGAACTGTTAACCTTAAAGCATCTGCTGTAGATAATACAATTAAACTTAGAAGTGCCTTTGACATTAATGTCTGAACAAGACAGAGCAAAATATAATTTGTTTTTAAAAACAGGGTTTTAAAAAATCCCACTGCATATTAGAAACAGGCTTTTCACGCTAAGCTTCATACCAATAGCCGGGAATCCCCAAAGCCCCATTTCTCTCCCTCCAGAAGCCACTAAGGGCCTGTGGGGTGCTGCTTCCACGGAAGCCCTCAGGCTGTCCACCCAAGGGAGGCACAGTCCCAGCTCTGTCTCGGAGTAGCCAGTTAGTGTGGAGAGCGCTGTCCGCACCGCGGGAGCCCGCCTCTCCTGGCAGTACGCACACTGTGGTAAAGGGCTGCTGGCACTTCCTTTTGCAAATGACTGAATGAGGTCACACCTCAGGTCACCTGCACGGAAGTCCCTTTTGTCTCAGAAAGATTCTCAACAGTAAGAAATAGAGAACATTTAGAAAATAAAAATGTACCTCTCTCATAATACTGCCATTGTAATAAACAGAGAAGCACACCCCCACGTCCTGGTCGTGACTTTTGACAGCAACACTCAGAGAAGACTGAGAAGCAAAGGTGTATCTGGGTCCCAGACACCCTTCTCTTCACATTGTGTGGCAGGAGCCCAGCCAGAGCTGTGGGGTCAAAGCTGAAGCTTCTCACATCAGTGCTGTTTAGCACCATGTCCACACCTATTCCCTGTTTAAAGGTGGATGTCAGATTTGGCTGCATGATTTAAGAGTCTCTTAAACTGCCATCTTAATTAAGATTTTGAAAATTTTTATAGTAAAATTTCTAGTTATTTCCTTTTCTAAAACAAGTTTTTTCAAAATACTGTATTTTTATATATGATGAATAGAGGTTTCTACTTGAATTATTTGCCTTTTAAAAATTGATAATGTCTCTAGATTGAAAGAGGCAGAAATTTTTTATGTCTTAGGAAACTCATCTTGTGGATAAATGTTTTTGCCAGATTGTTGCCTAGAAAATCAGGGCTATTTCCAGTTTATACACGGAGCATTACTGCCATCACACACAGTCTCTGATGGGAAACCATCCTCGGCCCTTAAAGAACCACCACGTCCTACCATTGAAAGTGTAACAGTTCTTACTTTTTCATCTAGCTGCTTCTGTATTATTACCAACTCCCCTAAATTGTTTTTTTTTGGGGGGGGGGAGGGGGTTTGAGCATTTATTTCTCTTAATTTTCTTCCCTCACATTCATTTCAACTCCATTAATAATGTTTTTTTGTTAATTTACGAGTAAAAAAATTAGGTACTGTTAATATTGTTTTAAAATAGAAAATGTGCCTATTTTTGTATGATAATCAAATGTAGTAAAATACTTCTATTTTTTGCTAGAAAGTTGTTATATCATGATTATTGTGCCACAATTTATCGTGCATAATATGAAAAACAACTGTAGCAGCCTTGACTCCTGGCCGTTGTACAGCTGCGTAGCGCCCCTGCTGGCACGCGGGCCATTGTACAGCTGCGTAGCGCCCCTGCTGGCACGCGGGACATTGTACAGCTGCGTAGCGCCCCTGCTGGCACGCGGGACATTGTACAGCTGTAGCGCCCCTGCTGGCACGCGGGACATTGTACGGCTGCGTAGCGCCCCTGCTGG